CACCGCAGGATGGGAGACTGGAATCTGTGACACCGCAGGATGGGAGACTGGAATCTGTGACACCGCAGGATGGGACACTGGAATCGGAGTCACCGCAGGATGGGAGACTGGAATCTGAGTCACCGCAGGATGGGACATCATCCGAGATAGAATCCGGTGCACTGCAGTCTGAGACACCAGAATCCCGACCGCTGCTGTCTGGAAGATCAAATTAAAAAGGTTAGAGCCAAGCTGAGGCTGAAAACAAACTTTATTTGACAGTTTCATTTTTACATTTTTGAACATCTAATTAATTTATTTATATTTATTATTATATTATTTACTATAGGTTGTTTTTTTAATAACATTTGAGTTTGCTTTAAATGACTACACAGTCACCCAGAGTAAATTTCATCTTTTGTTAATCAAAAAACACTGTAACCAAAGATTCTCTTCCATCGTCTTCCTCTGTCTTGCAGAGTAATACATCAGAGAGCAGTGACTTAGATCATCTGGTTGATAAATGTACAACTTCTGTGCAAACTTCACTCGATAAAACTGCTATGCTAAAAAAAAAAAGTAATCAATCAGAGACTGGCACCTTGGTTCAATTCTGAGTTGCGTACTTTAAAACAGGCATCTAGAAAGCAGGAAAGAAATGCTCCACCAACATTGAAGAATTTTGTTTATCTTGGATAGCCTGCTAACTTATAAAAAAAGCTCAGTAAATCTAGAACTTTATATTATTCATCTTTAATAGATGAGAATAAAAATAATCCCAGTAGGGTTGGGCCATATCATATCGTTCACGATAATACCGGTAAAAAAACGCTTGCCCGGACAAAAAAATTGATATCATGATATGCTAATTTCATGACGCAATACGTCAGGACACCCCTTTAACAGAATCGAGTGCGTCGAACGACCAAACCGAATTGCACACGCCTCATCCACCTGTCGGTACTGGCGTAACACTAATTAGTTGCGTGCAATACTAGCTAGCTAAAAATCTAAAAACAAACAACGCGCGGCTCAGCTGTCTCTCCATCCAGCTCTAAACTGGAGGTACAAAAAGCTCAACTGTCTCTTCCTTCCCCCCCTCTAAGCTGCCCCCCCCCCCCCCCCCAACAGAGTTAGGTGATGAAAGACAGAGCATCAGAGAAATTAATCATTCCTGCAGGAACAGAGGAAGCTGAAACACCACAAGCTTCAGGGTCAGCTGATCACAAGTTCTGGAAGTTATAGCTCATTTAAAGCAACATATATTTTGTTGTACGTTACATTTATGCTCAACAGATCTTAAACTTCGTTTTATTTAGTCATTTTGGGAAACTTCACCTGCACTTTAGTTTTTGTGGTGGATTTATTGATCTATATTTTGTGCAGACTTTTTCAATCCAAATAACAGAAGGATCTTTTTACTTTTATACTTGGAGACTGAATACTTTACTAAATAAAGTAATTTCAGTAAAATCACCCCTTGTTTGTTTACATTTTATATAATACTGCAAAGCAACATGTTAAGTTAATTTTGTCACATAAATAACTGAGTCCTGGTTTTTTTTGTTATATCACAAAATTTATCGTTATCGTCAAAATGCTCTGAAATATCAAAATATTATATTTGAGCCATATCGCCCACCCCTAAATTCCAAGATCCTTTTCAGTTACATAGCTAGTCAAAAGAAAAATCCTAGCTCTGTTGATTCATGTATCTCTACAAGCAGTGATGAGTTCATAAGATTCTTTATAAAGAAAATCATTCCAAATAGGGGAAAAAAAAAAGAAACCAACCTTCCTACTATTGCCTCTGGTTCTGTGTCAGATAAGACAACTTTAAAAAGGTCACTAGAACCTGATTTATATTTGGACTGTTTTTGTCCTGTTGAACTAAATTGTCAAAAATAAAAGTTTTATCCAAACTATCCACGTCTGCTAGATCCCATCCCAACCAGCCTATTTAAATATGCATTTCCCTTAATTAATAACCATGTCTTGGATCTGCTTAATTTGTCTCTAATGAATGGTTACGTACCACAGCGCTATAAGATTGCTGTAATTAAACCTTTACTTAAGAAACATAATATCGACTTGGGAATCCTGCCCAATTATAGAGCTATATCTAATCTAACTGTCATATCAAAAATTCTAGAGAAAATAGTTGCAGGTCAGTTGTGTGAACATGTGCAAAGAAATAATCTGTTTGAGGAGTTTCAGTCAGGGCTTAGAGCTTAACATAGCACTGAAACTGCACTGGTGAAAGTTACTAATAATATTCTCATGGCCTATGACAATGGACTTGTGTCTACACTGGTCCTGTTAGACCTCAGTGCTGCATTTGATCACAATATTCTACAAACAGGATTCCAAAAAAGTTGGGACACTAAACAAATTGTGAATAAAAACTGAATGCATTGATGTGGAGAGGGCAAATGTCAATATTTTATTTGTAATATAACATAGATGACAGATAAAAAAGTTTAATCTGAGTAAATGTAACATTTTAAAGGAAAAATATGTTGATTCAAAATTTCACAGTGTCAACAAATCCCAAAAAAGTTGGGACAAGTAGCAATAAGTGTCTGGAAAAAGGAAATTGAGCATATAACGAACAGCTGGAAGACAAATTAACACTAATTAGGTCAACTGACAACATGATTGGGTATAAAAAGAGCTTCTCAGAGTGTCAGTGTCTCTCAGAAGCCAAGATAGTAAGAGGATCACCAATTCCACCATTGTTGCACAGAAAGATAGTGCAGCAATACCAGAATGGTGTTACCCAGCGTAAAATAGCAAAGACTTTTAAGTTATCGTCATCAACCGTAAATAACATCATCAAAAGATTCAGAGAATCTGGAGCAATAGCTGAGCGTAAGGGTCAAGGCCGTAAAACTCTACTGGATGCTCGTGATCTCCGGGCCCTTAAATGTCACTTCACCTCAAACAGGAATGCCACTGTCAAGGAAATAACAGAATGGGCTCAGGAATACTTCCAGAAAGCATTGTCAGTGAACACAATCCACCATGCCATCTGCTGTTGCCAGCTGAAACTCTACAGTGCAAAGAAGAAGACATTTCTAAGCAAGCTCCACTAGCTCAGACGTTTGCACTGGGCCAGGGGTCATTTAAAATGGAGTGTGGCAAAATGAAAGACTGTTCTGTGGTCAGATGAGTCACGATTTGAAGTTCTTTATGGAACACCGGGACGCCATGTCATCCGGACCAGAGAGGACAAGGATAGCCCAAGTTGTTATCAACACTCCGTCCAGATGCATGCATCACTGATGGTATGGGGTTGCATGAGTGCTTGTGGCATGGGCAGCTTGCATGTCTGGAAAGGCACCATTAATGCAGAGAACTATGTTCAGGTTCTAGAACAACATATGCTCCCTTCTAGATGTCATCTCTTTCAGGGAAGACCCTGCATTTTTCAACATGATAATGCCAGACCACATTCTGCAGCAATCACAACATCATGGCTACGTAGGAGAAGGATCCGGGTACTGAAATGGCCAGACTGCAGTCCAGATCTTTCACCTATAGAGAACATTTGGCACATCATAAAGAGGAAGGTGCGACAAAGAAGGCCCAAGACGATTGAACAGTTAGAGGCCTGTATTAGACATGATTGGGAGAGCATTCCTATTTCTAAACTTGAGAAACTGGTCTCCTCTGTCCCCAGATGTCTGTTGAGTGTTGTAAGAATAAGGGGGGATGCCACACAGTGGTAAAAATGGACTTGTCCCAACTTTTTTGGGATTTGTTGACGCCATGAAATTTGGAAACAACAGATTTTTCCCTTAAAATGATACATTCTCTCAGTTTAAACTTTTGATCTGTGTTCTATTCTGAATAAAATATTAGATGTTGGCACCTCCACATCATTGCATTCAGTTTTTATTCACAATTTGTTTAGTGTCCCAACTTTTTTGGAATCCGGTTTGTACTACAAAGACATGAATATGATATTGGAATTACAAGAACGGCTCTAAATTGGTTTAAATATTATATTAATATAATACTATCTGATCGATTCCAATTTGTAAATGTAAATAATGAATCTTCTTCAAACACAAAAATTATTCATGGAGTTCCTCAGGGTTCATTACTTGGACCAATACCTTTTACCTTATCTATGCTTCCATTAAGTAAACTTATTAAACAGCATGGGATAAATTTTCATTGTTACGCTGATGATACAGAGTTATAGGGCTGGGCGATATGGACCAAAATTAATATCTCGATATTTTAAGACTATCGCAATGGTTTATTATCTGGGTATCAAAATACTTATTTAAAGTCTTCAGTTAATCCAAAATGCTGCTGCCAGAGTCTTAACTGGAGTTACTGGGAGAGATCATATATCTCCAGTTTTAGCTTCTCTCCAATGGCTCTCTATTAAATTAAGAACCAATTCAACCAAATTAAAAATTTCCTGATGCATGCTCAATAATCCAGGTAGAAAAATCTAAAAAAGTTAAATCTGGTCCTCTGGACAATTAAAAGACAAAACAAAGCAAAACAAAACAAAAAAAAAAATGTGGAAACGTTTCGTCTTTCATCCGAAAGACTTCCTCAGTCAGAGACTGTGCAGACACATCTAACACATCTTTAACCTGTCCATAAGCCAAAATTCCATTCCAGACACTTGGAAAACAGCCTTTGTTCTACCTTTGTTGAAGGGAGGTGACCCCACCTCACTGAACAATTTTCGAACAATCTATCAACTCATTTAACATCTTACCTCTCCATCAATCTGGTTTCAGGAAACAACACAGCACAATGACTGCTTGGCTGAAGGTTTTTAATGACGTTGTTGAAGCATTGGACGCTAAGGATTATTGTGCTGCACTTTACTTACACCTGTCTAAAGCTTGACACTGTGGATCATAACATCTTGTGTCATAAGCTCTCAGAAATTGGTTTCAGTCAGATTTATTCTGTCTCAAACTTGTCCTAAATGTCAACAAAACCAAAGGGATGTTTTTTTTCCAAACAGGAAGTCCGTCCCAGCAGTTCTTCCTTTGACTTTATACTCGAATGGTGCCCCTATAGTTTGTCGATTCCTACAAATATTTGGGTATCTTGGTCGATTACATCTCTTTTTTAAGCTATACATGGAAAACTTAGTAAAGAAACTGAAAGTTAAACTGGGGTTCTTTTTCAGAAACAGATCCTGTCTAACTCTGAATGCTAGGAAACACCTTGTGACTGCGACTTTCCTTCCCTCCATTGATTACGGTGACATTATTTGCATGAATGCTCCTACAAGCACTCTGCAGATGTTGGATGCTGCCTATCATTGTGCGCTAAGATTCATAACTGGCTGTAACTACCATACCCATAATTGCTCCCTGTATTCACTGGTTAATTGGTCATCGTTAACTTCACTCTCAATAGTACATTTTCATCTTTAAATCACTTCTTGGTCTGTTGCCTTCATACATCTCCTCCTACATGCCTCTGCGTGAATGCAGCTACAGCGTGCGCTCTCAGGACAGCATTAACTGCAGTGTTCCCTCAGTGCAGACTGAACTGGGCAAAAGGGCCTTCTCCTACTCTGCTCCTGTTTCCTGGAATATCTTGCAAAAAGATCTGAAGCTCCCAATCTTGACCTAAGTGGCTTCAAACATCTGCTAAGTTCATGGCAAAAACCATTGCAGACATGTTCCTGTTTTTAGTTTTCTAAATCGCCTTACAACCTAGTTGTTTTTTTTTGTTACATCTTCTTTTAAATACCATTTTATTTTCACTTGTTATTCTCAATTTGTATACATCATTTATGATTGTCTTTTGTTGTCCACTGTTATCATCACTTTGTTTAAAAAAAAAAAAAACAGCTCTCTTGTAAATGAGTCCCTGAGGCTCAATGTGATTAGCCTGTATAAATAAAGGAATGAATTTATATAGCACCAAGTCACAACAGAAGTCATCTCATGGCACTGAACAGAAACATTCATATATAAAAAATAATAATAAGTTAACACTATTTATCTGAGGGCAGACTGCTTTGAATTCAGCTCTATCGCAGAATCCTATAGTTACGGTTGGCTTATTATGCCACTATAGGCTTAGACTACTGGAGGACAAGTTGACCTCATATCTTAAAATGAATTGCTGCAATTAAATAGTTTTCATTTGAAATTATTTGTATCTTAACGTGTGATTTTCGATGTGCCATTGTGTATCCGTTCCTCCTTCCTGTTCTACCAAATCCAGCTGATCGAAGCAGATGGACGCTTGTCCTGAACCTGGTTCTGCTAAAGGTTTCTTCCTCATGAGGGAGTTTTTCCTTTCCACTGTTGCCTTCATGCTTGCTCAAGATTAAAGTTCTGCGATGGAGTAAAATTCAAAGCAGTCTGCTCCTCAGATAAATCATGTTAATTTGCTTTTTATATTTCCTGCGGGATCAATAAAAGTTCTATCTTATCTTATATATGAATGTTTCTGTTCAGTGCCCTGAGATGACTTCTGTTGTGACTTGGCGCTAAATAAACCGACTTGAATTCAAGTTGTGGAACAGTACAGAACTTCCCCTATACATTCCGTTGACCCGACTGACCTCCACATCCTACAATTTAACCCACTGATGTTACATTTTTATTTGGGTTTTGTTAATTATTGCTAAGCCATTGTTATCAAAGCCGGAATACACAAATACGAATACTTAAAACGTTTACAGCTCGATTTTATTTAGACGGTACAAATCTAAAACTACGACAACTTACGTTTACGTTAAAGAGTTGAAAACTTCTCAGAACGAGAACGATGAATCTGTCGAGCGGACCTGATTAAACCTTGTTAGCTGTATCCATCAGGATTATTGAGCATGCATCAGTTATTTACCGCGGTCAGTTATTTTGTATTATTCGTGCAGCGGTCTGGACCAGCTGCCGCCTCTACAACAAAGTAAAAAAAAAACAAGTTCACGTTCATATCGTTCACACGAGGACAAAAACATGTACAAACTAACTTTGAATACGGACAAAAAAAGTATTTCATTTAAATCTTCACTTTACCTTTTAAAATTTCCGCCATGTTTCCACTGAACCGCCAAAACGGCACAAACTTCAACCGAGAAGCGGGTCTTCAACAAGAAGTGACGTAAGAACGCTGACTGGCTGAGCTCACCCTGTCAAGCTTGTCATTGGCTCACACAGAGGACGCAGAGTACCGTGACAGCTGATTAGCTAGTTCGAGTTGAACTCAAAGAACACTGCGTCCTATTGGTGGACGTATCGAACGTACCAACAGTCAGTATTCAAATGTAGGAATACAGTATTTAAATACAGTATATATATATATACACACACACACACATATATATATATACAGTATATATATATATATATATATA